CGAAGGTCACCGATATTATCGCGCATTCGCTTGACTTCTTCACGTTGATAGGTCGATTCCATATTGGCACGATTGGCTGATCCCTGGACTTCCGATACCTGAAATGTTTACCCACATTAGCACCCACCACCGAAAATACCCCCAACCTCGGGTAAATTATCCCCGAAATACCCCACCGCGGTCAAATTGCACCCTTGATCCGACCACTCACCTTGAGTTTGTACCAGCTCTCCATGTCCTGCTTGCCTTGTTTGGCGATATAGTCGTATTCGTCTTTGATGTCGCGAATCGCCAACGCCAACTCGTTCTTGAAGAACTCGCGGGTGTCTGCGGGCGCTTGCGCCAAAAGGGCCTGAAATTAGACAAAACGACCATAAATAAATGACCTGAAATTCCGCAAAAATACCCAACACTGACCTGAAATTCAGTGCCACAAAGGTACCACAACAAACAACTAAACGGCACCCACCTGTAACTCCTTGACTTCTTGTTCGTGTACACGACGCAAGAATTCCAGCTCTTCCATCAGTGTCTGCACTTGATTCTGGAAGTCGATCCGACCGAGAGTCTCCTCGTCCAGGTCGTTTCTGGCCTTCTGCAGTTCGTCCCAGATGCGTGCGTTATCGCCGTTCAGTCGTTTCTCCTCGTCGGTCAACTGTCTCCATCGGGCGCGGAGCATCTCGAGTTCGGATTGGGCGTCTTCGATGGAGTGCTGCCATTGGGTGATCTTCTCGCGGTCGGATTCNCGACGGTGCTGTACGTCCTCGTAGCGATTGCGCAGCTCGGCCAGGTCATCCCGGAGACGGGCCACTTTAACGTCGATCTCGGCCTTTCTTCTCGCTCCGTCATCGATCTCTTTACGCGCGTCTCGAAGCGAATCCGAATATTGAATCTGTTACAGCACAATATCAACAACTATTATTATATACATACCATAATACTGAACACAATGCACGGACAAAATACCCCCAAGTGAAGGATCCGAATATTGAATCTGTTGTTACAGCACAATATCAATTACTATTACTATTTACATATCATAATAATATACATAAGGCACGGACAAAATACCCCCAACTGGACAAAACATCCCCAAGTGAAGAATCCGAATATTGATTTTTTGTATATATCACGACAGCAATCATACATGATATAGCTGCGGACAAAATTTCCCAATTGGACAAAATATCCCCTGGCGGACAAAATGCTTACGGACAAAATACCCCCAAGCGATGAATCCCAGTGTTGAATCTGATATATCACAACAATGATTACGCATAATACACACACGGACAAAATGTCCCCCTGGCGGACAAAATGGTTACGGACAATATACCCCAAGCGAAGAATCCCAGTGTTGAATGCATATATCACAACACAATGATTACGCATAATACACACACGGACAAAATGTCCCCCTGACGGACAAAATCTCTCCAATCGGACAAAATTCCCGGCCACAAACCTTAATTTCCGAGGTGTCCTTTCCCCATCTGCCACGCAATT